CCCCAAAACCCCAAAACCCCAAAACCCCTATCTATTCTGAAAATATTGAAAAGTGGGAGAATAAACTAAGCATATGAGAAAGCTTCAATTCCTTCTGTCATTGAATTATGCTGTTTTACTTTGTATTCTAAGTCCTCTGAGTCATTTATAGATACATCTTGCACAGGAACAGTGATACTGCTCTTACCTAATTCCTTATCATCTCTATCAGCAGAGTCTTGAGATTCAGCAATACTCTCTTTGTTGATTATTTCTTTCTAATATAAGCAGTTAGAATACATTTGTTTATATGGAAGCATACCTTTTCTTCTGGGTTATAATCCTGCTGCAAAAAGCTATCTTTACCACGTGGGTCGTAGTCGAATAATTTATTGTCATGACTATTGTCTGGAGAGTGGATTATCTCATAATCATCGCTTAAATTTTCATCTTTTACGACATTATCATTTTGTTCATGCTTGCTTCTGTGTTCTAACTTAAGTTTTTCTTCATTCTCGTATTGCTCTCTTGCTTTGCATTCACTCCAGACCTTCTCCTTTCTAAGCTATGATAGTGAAATTTACCTTTCCATGATGTGCTTCAGGTTTTCCCAGAGGTTCATGATATGATGGTTTCCTTCCATTTCCTAAATCATGAAGATAGTTTTGGGATATCTTACATCAGTGCAGAAGGTTGATAGTCACTTGTAGTAATTACTAGCTTTCCAAAGTTTAAACTGGCTGATCTCCTTCATCCACATATAAACAATAAGGAGATTGATCACTTTGGTATATGTTTCCACTATCACCTCACTTCTAGAGATGTATGTGTTCAGCTCAGTAATTCTATTATGCCTCCCAGTTTGTGACTGGAATAAGCTCTTTAAAGTCTTCTTGCCTTCTTCAAGACTCTGCATTTCCTTCCTAGCTGAAACTATTTTGGAAACTAACTTTTCCTTTTCTTTCTTAAGTTTATCGATTCCTAAAACTTTAAGTATAAAATACCCTCGATTGCTCTAACCATTGCTTCAAAATCATGAATTTCTTGCTTGATCCAATATTTCATTTTACTGAATGGATTCCTCACAGTAAGAGGGATAAGACAGAAATCATTACCAATCTTCTCATGATCAATGTCAGACACTATCTTTAATGAAGTAGTTAGAGAGTCATTTGGAGATCTTCTCGAATAAACATCTAATGAATTGTTTTCATATGTGTATAATTGGTCCATGAAAAATCCATTTCAGCGAAGATATGTATTCCTGCTCGCTCACTCTTTCAAGATAAACACCTTAAGGCCGTTAAGGAAAGGGATATTATTTGCCAGTTCTTCCTTGAACTGAATGATAGATCTAGAATAATGCTCCGTCTCAATCGCATTTATTTCGAGATTAATCTGTGCATCCACTGTAATCCTCTCCATCAACATTTCAATCGTAGGTTTAGGAAGATTTTTAAGATCTGACATCACGTTCGTCATAGGTTTTACAAAAAGAGCAACTTCATCCGAGTCCCAAAGGAACTTTCTGTCTGCCAGTTCATTTAAAAATATATTTAGCAAATAAGTCCTTTCAGTGACTACTTTAGAATCCATCTTGGAGAATGCGTTCTTTTTAGGGATTGGAGGGATATAAAATCCTGGCCATCTTTCTTCCAGTCTCTTATGAAGCAAATCAAATTCTTTATATCTTCTGCAAATAGTGAATTCTTCATCTTTGTGGATCCCAAGAATTTTGTAGTCTGTGTGCTTACCCCCGCCCTGATTAGTTTCAATTGCTTTAATTATCCTCACTTTTTCATTAGGACCTAATTTGATTTCTTCCTCTATTCCGAACATTGTAGATTGGGTTTGTCGATGTCCTATTTTGAAATTATCTCCAATTTCATCTTCAAGATTAAAAATTGTGTTATTTTTCACTCTGTAAGACATCATACATCTTATTAATGTCGCTAAGATCCCTGCTATCTTCAAGACCCATTTTAGAATTATCAGATGGAACATGGATCTCCTTCAGAGATGAATTATTTATCTCATCTTCATAGTTAAGTTTTGATGAGTGAAATTCTTCATCGCTAGGCCGATCTGGAGGAATAGAAAAAGAGTCTGCTTCAATATTCTCATCACTTTTAGAGCTAGCTTCCATTTTATAATTTTTATCAATTATTTACCTTTCTATTTCAAGAATTTTAACTTAAGATGGGGTTTTGGGGTTTTGGGGTTTTGGGGTTTTGGGG